CAGAAAAGATTAGCTAAAATTGTGATCTATGATGATTTGTCTGGTGGGTAGGGGGGACCTGATTGAGCTAAAATCAAGTTCACAATGAGAAAGTCATAACTTTGTGTGTTTGTTCCAGTCTTCATTCTGGGGTAAGACTTCTTGTTTGGTGTAAAATGACAAACGGAAAGTGGATTTCCTTGTGCTTTTCAAAATGAATGCTAAATTATATTATGTGATTAATCATAACAACTTTGGAAGTGGGAGGGACACTTGCATGGAAGCTGAAGTGAAATTTGGACATTGAGTCAGAACAGTTGTGATCTGCACAACTCCTGAGCACCTCTGTAGTATATTTGATAATCTATGAAAGTGCAGGTCAGGCTTTGAGGGAGAAAAGAGCTGGATCTACTAATACCACTGCCTACACTCTTCCAACTTGCCTTTGATTTGTTCGTGTTTTTTTTTTTTTTTTTTCCAGGAATCTTGTTTCTGACAAACAGGACTCCTTAGCGCAATGCGCAGACTTCAGGAATAACTTACCATCCCAAGAAGCCATGCTGTGTTCTGGCCCCTTAGCTGTAATACAGGGACGAACATCAAAGTATGCACTTAATTGCTTCATTTGATCAGCATGTTTGTCTTTTTTTCCTATTACTTATTCATGTATTTGTATCAGTGAGTTAGTTCTTGAGACACTAATTGTACCAAAAGTTATCCTTAGCTCACAGAATGTTTTTTTTCCAAATCTTTTCTCTTTTGTAGTCTGTATTTCAGTGTTACTTCAAGATTGTTTAGGGGGATAGGAAAGCATACTCTAAACTTAATCATTTTATTTAAGTCTTCTCTTTATTGAGTAGGTAAAATACTTGACAACTTTGTACACGTGATGTTTTGATTAACTAAACTGAATTTCATAAAGTCACCTTTATTGATTTGATATGGATTTGAATTAGATTTCCCAGGCAGTTCTCTGTGCTTTTTCCGTCTGTCACATCTGAGTTTATTTTTTTTAATTATTATTTTGTAATTATTTTTTGTGAAAAGAATACATAGTACTAAAAAAAGAATACATAATACATAAAACTAAAGTTGTATGATTTTATTGCTGTTCTCTTTCAGGCAGGAAAAAAGCGATTGGAAAAGTATTTGACATCCAAACAAACAACATTCTCTTTTGAGAAAGACTAAATATCACACTTAAAACAAGAAATCATTTTCAAAAAGGAGATAATTGGTTACTTTTTCACAAATTAGCTTTCTGGTGTCAATATGTACTCTAAGTGTTAAGTTTAGAATAGTTTCTGTATTACAAGAACATATATATTAACATCTGATATAAAATCAGGCTGACATGTTAATTTTTCTTTGGCTTTGTAGTTCAGGAAGGCAAGCTGCCAGATTGTTCTCCATGCCTCATTTAGTGCAACAAGAAACAACACTTGCATACCTGGAGAATCAGATAGCAGCAGCACTTATATTACAATCCAGTCATGAATATCGCCACTGGCTCCTTATCTATGCACGGTACCTAGTTAATGAAGGTGAGACTCCTTTGCAACTCAGTATTTTAAGAAACCCTCTGTTCACTTCATCTATATGTATGATTGCATTTAATGTTCTCTTGTTTAGCACTTGGCTTCTGGACTTAGCATTTATTTAAAGTAAAAAACAAAACCAGATGAAGGTGTTGCTTCCTGTAGTGCTCAGTACTCAGGAATCCTATTCTTAAATGCTGTGAACAGACTATGGTCTGGGGAAACAGTGCCATCTGTGGATCTTGATAAGGGGAAAAATAACATGCGGTGGTCTGTCAGGTTATATCATATGCATTATGAGGCAGCAACTACATACATTTCAGAAGCAGCAACACCTTGTAAAACATGTAATGTTCCTCTGCCAACTGATGATCAGGGTATGTCGAAAAGTGGAAGAATTGCTAAGCCTTTGATACTTTGTACCAGAGCACACAAAGAAGTGAGTTTGCTTCTGTTACTTGCACTTTATGCATTTTTACATTTTAAAATTTCAACAATCAGTAGTGTTGAGCTCCTTAAGTTAATTTCTATGAATATATCTCTGTATATATACTAATATATTTTTTCAGAAATCATGCATTTTGTCTTTATCCTGTTCTAGATACTTGCAACTCTTTTCTTGAAAATGTTGTCAGTTACATTTTGTAGTGGTTTTATATACAGAAATCCTATGAACGTGATCTTATTTCTGATGATATTCAGGGTTTGAATATCGTTTGCGAGAATTATGCAAGGATTTATTGGGTCCAGTCCATTACTCAGCTGGAAGTCAGTGGGAATCAACAGTAATGGTAAGTCCTGATAATAGTTTAACAAAGAATGAGGGAGCGTTTCCCATGAAAATTACAGAATATGGATAACAGTGTAACGTAAGATACAGTTAAACTTAGTGACAAAAAAAAAATCAAAAATGATTTTTTGCTAATCCTGCAACCCTTTCCATTCTCTATTCCTATCTCGTAAGAAGGCTTCCTCTCATGGCACTTGTATTTATTTCATGTGGAACTGTATACAAATACTTAATGCCATGGTCTCAGCACTGGTGCTGTTTTGAATAAAAATCAGTTGGGAGTAGAGCTGAGTTTTCAGGTCTCCACATTGTTCAGACAGCAGCTTTGAAATAGTGACATGCCAATAAAATGTCTTTTCTCCTCAGAGCATGCCTGAAGTCTAGCTGTGCAGAGGCTGCACCAGCTTAATGAATATATAAATGTAAAAACAGTTTTTATTTTGGGAGTCATGTAAGCACAGTAAGAACATAAAATTACATAGCTCCTTCCAGGCAGGAAAAAAGACAATCTTGCAGTCCTATGGATTTTATTCATGATATTAAATAATGCATTCTAAGGATGCTTTTGTGTTTTTCTTTTTTGTTTTGCAGGGTTTACGAAAGAGAGAACTATTGAAAGAACTTCTTCCTGTTATTGGACAGAACCTCCGCTTCCAGAGGCTTTTCACAGAATATCAAGAGCAGCTAGACATCTTGAGAGATAAGTAGCATTTCCCCAGATTTTCCTTGAGGCGCCTGGTCTGATAGAAACTGCTGAACAGCATTAACCAGAGACCGAAGAAGAGAGAGAGCCCGGTCAGTGTGGAACGCTGCTGAAGAGGGCAGTGCCATAAGGGTCCCAGATGCTTCTCGAGTGACCTGCTTTAGATTTTAAAGAAGCTCACAAGTGGATCCATGAAAATGAGTGGATGACCTAGATAGTTTCCCAAGTGAAACTTAACCATCGAAGCTGTGGCCTCTGTTTCTATGGAAAGTCGTGGATATGTACTTCAGGGGGGTCCTTTTGGATCTGTATCTCATTTTAATATCAAAACTAGCTGAGAACTGTTTGTAGGGTTTCTTGGATGTCCTGTGAAAAGCACAGTACTTCAGAGTACACTGAACAGCATATTTAACCCTGTTTAGGGTTTTTTGACTGAGGATTTATTGAGGCTCAACACTATATTAAATTAGATGAATGAGCCACATAAAAAGAAATTTCATAAATATTAACATATTATACAGCCAATAGACTCTTTCCTGTGAATATAATAATAATAAGAGGCTGTTCTAACACATGGACTATTTTTGTACTAGAATTTGCTAACTTGTAATATGGAATTTTATTTGGCCAGTAATCAGGCTATCTCTACAAAGTCATCTTGTAGGAAATCTAACTCTAATATTACAAAAGCTATGTTTCAAAATAATTTACCAAATTAACATGTCATCATCTGGTTTTTAATTTTTAAATGTTTGTAAAAGGCATTTTTGGGGAGGGGGAGGGATACAATGGGATGGCTCTTTTTGTAAGTACAAAAATAAATGAACACCGCATTGGTTTAAAAAATGAAAAAACAAACATGGTCTTGAATTTTATATTTATATTACAAACGGCATCTCCAGAAACGTCAACACAAGCTGAATCATGTTAACGTCTCTAGAAATACATAATACTGTCTGGGTGATCTTTACTCTAAGAGCAGGATCAGACAAGTATTTGTAGTCACCTGAGAGCAGCTACATCCTAAAGCCACATCTCCTCTGAAGGGGCAGGAGCTATGTGGGGAGTACTCATTATTTTAGGCAACCCAAAGTAAAAAGGGCTCCCTTAACCACTGCTGAAAGCAGTGACAAACTTCATCCAGTTATGGCAATGTTGTTTGTGTGGCATTCCATAATAACAAAATGGTGTTGGTGCCCTGCCAGCAGTTCACTTGTGGAGTGGTTTTTGAATTGCACTGAAACCAAATCAGTCAACTTGTTTTCTTCACTGAAGTATGCTTGGTGCTGGGAAGGAAGCAAGTGTATGGCTTCAGTTATTGCCAGGTCCCAACTATTTAGGTGTGTCCCAGTTTACTGCCTTAGTTGGGGTGTTTCTGAGTAAGAAAATTATTATTGAAGTCAGTGTTTGTATTTAAAAATTACCCCTCTGTTACAGGGGTGTAGTGCATGCCATGTACAGCAACTTCTAGCAGAAACAGTCGATCTCTCACCCTTGTGAGGAATGCCAGGCAGCAGTGGCGAGGAATAGCTGCACTGCTGTGGATTTTGGCTGCTGAGGGCTGTGTTCTGGTGGGTGTCTGCAGCCACATGGCGGGCTGGACCCGAGGAGGGAGAGATGTGCTCCTTGGGGCAACACAACCGTCCAGCTAGGGAGAGCTGCCCCAGTTTCCTTGACCTCTGCTCCCAGCAGTTCAATAGTACCATGACAGAAAAACATGGTGGTAGCATGGCCTTAAGCTACGTTTTATCCATTTTCAACTCCATGCTTCCGAGCTGTGCCTTTTTGGAAAGGAGGCCTGTGCAGCTGCAGAAACAAATCGGCTCTCCCAGTCCATTTGGACACTTTGAACTGGAATCACTTCGGGGGAGGGGCGGGACGACACTCGAGTCTGATCTGGACCAGCTGAACGCACCATTTCTTTTTTTTTACTTTCTACTTTTTCTGTGGAAGCGGCCACCAGGCCGCCTGACGAGCGGGAGCTGCCCTCCCTCAGCCCCTCACGCCTTCAGCCGTGCCCGAGGCCCGGCGCTTGCCGAGCGGGTGGCGCCGCGCCCCTGAGCTGAGGGGCCCCGGCAGGGCCGCGCCGCCCCCGGCTCCCCTCAGCCGCCCCCCGAGGCTCTCCCTCTCCGCCGCCTCCTGAGGGCCGGCCCCGGAACGCCGCTCGCCGCCCGCGTTTCCCGGCGGGGCCCTTCGGAGCCGCACCCGCCCCGGAAAAGCTCCGCGGCCTCAGCCGTGCGGGTGCCGGCGGCGGTCGGGGCCGAGCCGCAGCCATGGGGAAGCGGCAGCACCAGAAGGACAAGATGTGAGCGGGGCGGCGGGGAGGGGGGCGGCCGGGGGGCGCGGGGGGGTGGCCGTGTGGCTGTGTGCCGTGTGGTGACCCCGCTCTGCCCGCAGGTACATCACCTGCGCCGAGTACACGCAGTTCTACGGCGGCAAGAAGGCAGGTGAGTGCCTCCTCCCCGCGGCCCTGCCCCGGGCCTGCTGCTGCGCCTCGCTCCCCGCCGGGGCTGGGGCTGGGGCTGGGCTGGGCTGGGGCTGGGGCTGCCCTCCTCAGGCACCCCCGGGCTGCTCTCCTTCTCCTTTGGCCTTGTCTCCACGCTTGCACTCAAATTTCCAGTCTCCTCTCTGCTGGAGCTCCGCAGACTTCCTTCTCTAAACTCTCTGTCCCTTGCTTTGCTTGAGCAGCGGTGCGAGGGCTCTGGCACGGGGTCACGTCGCTCAGGGTGGCCGGTGAAAGGAGCTCCTCGAGCACAGCTCCTACAGGCTGCAGGGATGTCTGAGCGCTCCCTGGGTTGGCTTTGGAACTGCTGAGCCTTGTAACTGCGGGTCCAAAAATTGGTGACACTGATGAGCATGAAAAATGCTGAAATTGGAGGTGTGACGTCCAGATGAACTCTCCTTGCCCTCAGCAAGTTCTGCATCTACCGGTAGGGCAGAGCATGAAGGCACTTACAAATTAATCATCTCATTTAAATGCAGTGCTGTCAGTCTGTCGGATCTCTGCTCGTTTTATTCTGATTGTTATTTCCGTTGAGGAGCGTATTTGTGCTCTACAGTAGGAATCTGATTTTAGTTATGGGTTTGCAGAGCTTACTGTGTTTATTCTTGTCATTGGTAAATTGCTACCACACAGATTGCGCAATGTAACTTCAAATGTTTCTTTGTTACCTGGCATACTTTGTATTAATCCTGTGCTTTGTTTCTCATAAACAGACCATCCACGAACTAATTTCAGACGTATATCATTTGATCACTGCAGGTAAAGCAATAAAATTACATTATCGTTATTAAATGACCTGTCTCTTCATCTGAGCTATTGCTGAAGCTGTGTTCTTCCAAGGTACTTTCATTGACTTGTGTCTGCTATGATAGCAATGCAACAAGAAAATTTCAATAAGAACTGAAACAATATCAGTATTTCCCATCCTTAGTGTCTGCTGAGATTGAATTTGATGGCTAAAAGTGATAAAATAATTCTGAACAGTTACCATGCTTGTTCCAATCTTAGAAATCTGTGTAATTGGGACTTGAATCAATTTTTTTCCTGCTTAGAATATGGTTGGACAGTTATTTGTATCTCAGAGGCAGTGATTAGATAGACTGAAAGGATATTTATCCTATTTTTGTGTTTAGTTTCATTCTTGAAGTCCTAGAATGATGGGAGTTAGTAGAGGTGGGTTAGATATTGTCTAGTAAATCAAATAGTTCCAGAAGGTTCCATCCCCACCTACTTACTACTGCTGCTTGGCTAAAAGCTGAAGGAATTATGGAAACATCCCTAACAAGAGATACCGAATGTAATTGCCAATTACTCCCTAGCCTGTTTAGTACAAAGACAGCGTGTCTGCTTGGACCATCTTGTGTGCGGGTAGAACCTGCTGGGGCAACAGAAGCAGCTTCAGGAGTATCACAGCATCTACACCTGTGGTTGTATGGCAGTGGGTGCTGAACTGCATCAGTTCCTTTCAGAGATCTTGTTTTTAACCTAATTTATGTAGAATATCATGTAGTGAGTATTGGCAGCCACTCAGTATTTTCGCTGGTATAGGCCTTCCTTTAATATGCAAGTGATTCAGCTAAATGTTATTTGCTTCTGTCATCATGATTTCCAGCTGATTTTGCTAAAAACATGTACTTTTTTTCTAGTTTGTCTCTGCAGCCATTTGAATATCCAGTTTGCACACCAGATGGGACAGTCTTTGACATACTGTAAGTTACTGTCTGTACTTAGCTTTATTTTTGTGTTGCTGAACTGCTTGGTTACAGCTGTGTACTCATCATTTGATCTTAGCAAGTCGGTAGAAATAATCTTGGCTATTAAAAAATAATAGAGGTTGCCATTGTTGCTTGAATCTTATTACTTTCTTCCTTCTCTTTTCAGGAGCATTGTTCCTTGGATAAAGAAATATGGAACCAACCCTATCACAGGAGAAGTAAGTAATGAGGGTTGTATTCATATGCTGTGTTGGCTTTCATTGTGTTCGGTTTTGTATTTAATGTGTGGGAGTTAAAAATGCTTTAGTGAAAGTAAAACAAGTTGAATGGTAGTACTGTTATAAAGTATGGTATTTCTGACATCAAGTTTGTAAAATTAAAGCACAGACTTACAAGGGATTTCTTTTTAGGAAAAAAAAAGGTAAAAAAAAAAAAGTTGGGGGCGTTTCTGGATTTGAGATCTGGTGTTCTCTTATTGTCATCCTGCTAATGATCTCTATAGTAGAAAATAATCACACTCTGACTGTTTGCAGAAGAAAGAGAAGAACATTATATTTTCTTCTTTTCCACAGTAAAAGAAGATGTAAACCACATTGTGGAGGAAATGGGCAATTCATTTATACAAACTCCCCACCACCACTCCCTCCCTTTTTTCTTTTTTTTTTTTTTTTAATGTTTTTGCTTATCTTATGTTTATGGCATAATTTAAGTCTTTCTAGTTGGAACTCCTAACTCTTTTGTTATTGCTAGCGATGCCCAGAAAGCCTAGCTGGCTGGTGATGAGGAAGGGTCAGTACTGCTGCCTTGTATAAGGTGAATTCCAGTCCACAGGGCAAGATGCTGACTAGCTCTCTTCTCCATCTGTACTAAAACTTGCAGTGGTGTTTCCTAACCAAGTGGATATTTGGTTCCATGCGGGTTAAAGAGATTAATATTAGTGCTAATGAATGATAACTTAATGTGCAAAATCTTTTGAATTATCTTGACGATTTATTTCAGTAAGTTTCTGTCCTGGCTCTGTCATGATAGTTAACTGTAAGACTGGGATTTCACACTGTACCCAGGGCTTTACTGTTTTCTTCCCTTTTTCCACTTAAGCACTAATTATGAAGGAATACTTTCTGTAATAGCGTGAAGTTCTAGAGCACCAGATGCATACAAAATACTGGATTTTTTTTTTTTTTGTGGTGGGTTAAAAGACTATTATTTTTTTTTTTCTGAGAACGTATATTTTAAACAAAAATTGTTGCTTGATTTACTGAAACTTTTTTCTTCAGTAAGTGCAGTTACTCTCCTGAGCATTTGGTGGCAGCCATTGCACAGAATTTCTGGTTGGTTTACAGATTGTTTTGTGGTATGAGGTTACCTTTGAAACATCTTGTATTTGATTAAAGATTTTCGCAGCAGACAGATATGAGGAGGAGCTAAATACAGATGCTGCATTCCAAAATCCAAACGTGAACAGACTGTCTGAGACTGAATATCATCAGTTATAGCAAACTGCAGGTGTGCTTGCATGATGGAGAGATGATTGAAGGTCTTTCTTTACACATGAAGAGGCCAATATGTGATGTTTAAAGGGAATGGAATTACAGCTATTTCAGTTAGTTTTGCCAGCCTCTTACTACCTTGCTACTCAGTGCATTGGTTAGGAGGTTTGGGGTGTTGCCAGATTATTATTTTTTTTTTAAACTCGGATCAGCTCCATGACACCTGTTCTCATTTCATTCTGTGAACCGTGATGTGGTTTAAAATTACTTCTGGTAAATGCATGCAAGAAGTGTAGCGTGTCTATTGGTCCTGTGCAATACAGAGAAAGTGAGGATGTGCAGAGTATTCTTGGTGAACCATAAATGCTCAAATGAAGTCTAACTTTGACATCTGTGAACTTACCTGGACTTACACTTCCATGGCTGATCTGCAGTGCACCTGCAGCTCTTCTCTACGTGTGTTCCTTTTTCCTGTGTTGCTCTGTTTTGGGGAGCCCCCTTTCTTCTTCCCTTTTCTTCAGTGGTGGAGTTGTGCTGTACAGCTCTGTCCAGAGACAAAGGCATTCCAGACCACTTGGAAGAAAAAGGAGGTGCTTGCAGTCCATAACAGCATGCAGTCTGGCTGATTATAGCCTTGTGGAGCTATAAAGGGAAGAGTGGGGTTGAGAGAAGGGATGTAATTTAGTCTTTACTCCCCAGAGAACCAAGTCTCTCTTTCTAAAGGGGAAGATGGCATAGGGCAGGAAGGGATGGGGGTGCTGGGATGAGGTAGGGTAGGTAGCAGAGGGAGTCTGTGGATCTTGTCCATCTCTAGACTGTACTGCCCCCTGGCTTAGTGCTTGCTGCCCTCTGTATTTAACTGTGTGTGCATGTTCTGTTACTTGTACAGCTTGCTCACTGGTGAAGCCAGAAAATACCTTCTGTAATGTGTTGGTGACTTAAGGAAACTTAAGACTCTAGGTTTGTTTGAAGAGGAATTGAGCCAGACTAGCTGAAGTGCTGTGTTTTAGAAGGTGCTTTATGACATTCCTTTGCGCAAATTGATGATTTGTTGGTGGTGGTGAGGCCCTGGAGAATTTTTCCCTTTTTTGTCCTCAAGTTAAAAATGATAATGAAATCCCTTGTGTCTTGCCCTTCTGTTGTTCTGGTTTGCTACAGGCTAAACATTTTAGACATGTCACCAGGCTACCCAGAAAAGGCGTTGTTAATGGCACACACGTGATAATTGCCAATTCTCACTAGCTGTCTTAATTCTGAAGTGGGCCCTCACTGGGGCATAGGAGAGCTTTGCAGTCATTAACACATTTATCTTCACAGTGCTCTCACGAGGTGGGACTGTGCTAGTATTTTCTTAATTGGCTGTTTGTGAACTGATCTACAAGTAGGCAGTGACTTCTCTCAGTCTTCCAAATCCTAAACTTTTGGACCAGCCTTCCTTTTTAAAGAAATTTTGCAATGCCAAGATTGCAGTCACTCTTTGCTATGTTTAATTTGCTTTCCTTCCCTATACTTCTTCATGGTTTATTTTCTCTTCTGAACATCCTTCTGAGGTGCAAGCATTGTCACCAGTATCCATTTAGGAGAAACAAATCGCCGTTGACCTTTGTGTAGATTTTGCAATGAGCTATTCCAAACAGTAACTTTTCTTCTTTTAATAATATATAATACAATTTTATATATTTTTTTAATAATGCATTGCAGTAAAAATTTTTGTTATACCAATAATTTTGGAAGAAATGATGCATCTCTTGCAGCTGAACTACAGCCTGTGAGATGGCGTTGGCTCGCTTACTTTTTCTGTCAGCTTTGTCAGGACACTGCCCTAGCTTATGTTTACACTAAAATTGCATAAAATAAAGAGTAACCAGGAAAGTCATAGCAGGCTTATTCCTTTTTACTGACAACAGCACTTTGGCTTCTTGGCCTTGCAGATAGCTGCAAGCTTGCCAGGTTGTTTCATGTAGCGGCGTTCTGACAGCACTGACCAGCATGCCCACACAAGCCAGCCAGCTGGGCTCGGGAGTACCTATTTCCAAGAAATGGGATTGGTCAGATCCTATCTGGTTTGTTGGAATCTCAAATATGAGCAGATGACAGATCCGCATGAAGGTAGCAGTATGCCTTTTGACAGGAATTTCAAGGGAAATAGTTCTTTGTTGGGTAGGTTTATGTGGGCTGAGTTATTTTTCTTCTTCATGTTGTAATGTTTCTGATGTAAATACCTATTTTTTTCAGTCTGGTTCACTGACATTCTAACTATACGTGGGCAGACTAGATTACTGTGGTTGTACTTCAGCTCTTTTTGAGACTGGCTCTGTAACCTTGGGAAAGTATCTCTTTTCCCCTGTCTCAGAAATAGCTGAGGTCTTTGTTCCTTGTCCCCCTTTTCTGCAGGAATTTTGTTCTTCTGGACAGTTGAAAGTCTGTTCATCTCCACAGTTTGCTTCTAAGGCTTTGGTCCAAAGTCAGTTTTGTGACTGTTTTAAGTGCATCTGTTTTAAAACTCATATTAGAGGGCTCATCTATGTGAAGTCTTTCTGCATGGTTCAGAGCAAACCAAAATCCGTATGTCTGCTGATCCTACATAACCCAGAGAAGCAGTCCTCATGTTAAGGGCCACGTGTGCCTGTGTAGTTGTCACATTTGTATCTGTCTTGAAGGGCCAACAGGATTCAGTCAGTTAATGTAGCTTGCATTTAACATATGCCTACAGATTAAAACAAACAAGCAAACAAAAAAAAAGCAAACTGAAGACACTGCATGGTGGATGTGTGAGGTTAGCATTCATGCTTCTGGTCCCAGTGAGGCAGAGAACAATTTGTGTTGTGCCCTGTCTCATGCAAAGTTAGGATTTGGATCTAGAGGCCAGAAAGAGCTTTTTCTTAAGTGTCAGATTTTAGCTGCTTGCTGGGTAAATGAGAAAGTTTTAAAAATTAAGAAAAGATAGAACTCAACTCAAAGTCTTGATCTGTGCACAAAATAAGTATTTGCTCTTGTTCTTCCATACTCATAATCCTGTATTTACCAAACAAAAATGATGTGGGGTGAGATTATGACTAATAAGATCAAATAATTGAGGCAGTACAGGTGCCTGCCTCATGCACTAAGCCTTCCTGATCGTCTCTTTGAAAGCACCCAGAGACGCACGGCTTGTGCCTCGCAATGCCCTGTGGCAATGACAGAGGTTGTAGGGAACATCACATCGAGCACTGCTCATGTATGAACATAGGCAGTGTCATTTTTAAAGGTTTTTTTAATCATTTGTTTGAAGCAAGGTCAGTTACGTGATGCTTGCCTGAATACTTACAGGAACTTTCAAGAACAATAACTCTTTACCTTCAAAAGAGAAAAATTGCAACCAAATCTGTTATTTTAATTTTTTGGGAAAGTCATTCTCAAATACATTCCTTAATATGTTTAGAAGCTGCTACTTCTCTCAGATGTTGGTGGCTATGGTTACTTAATTTTATTGTGAAAGGATGTTTTCTTTTCAATGTAATTAACAGAATTTCAGTCAATCTCATGGAAATTGTTTGCGGGTCTTGAGGTAAGAGATGCTTGCTGACCAGATTAAAGGAGAGGATTCATTTTTTACCACTAAAGGTATTAATTCTAGTTTAAAAATGAACAAACAACCATACAGCACTTTTTTATGCTCTAAAAACATCTTTGGCTGTCTAAAGAAGGGAAATCCTGCCTGAAAAGGATGCAGAAAGTAGAGCAAAGGT